CATTTCAGACCTCCCCCGTGGGAGAAACCTCCAAAACATCGTCCCCAGACCCCCCCAAACCCTCCAAGATAGCCTGGAAGAGGCCCCCCCCCGAAATGAGACCCCCCTCCCTTTATTACAACATCTGGAGTACCCATAGGGGGAATGTTGGGAGAAGGGCTGGCTGTGGGTATGGGTGCGGGCTGTCGGATCCTGGGGGGTGCTTCCCTTCGAGCGGGGACCCCCATCCGACAGCACGCACCCATAGCCCCCACCGTCCCACCTATGGGTATGGGTGCGTGTTGTTCGTTCGTCATGCCTGGGGGTCGCCGTCGTCGCGGGCGCGTCGCCTCGTGGGCTCGGCGCCGTTCGGGGGGGCGCCCGCCAGTGGATCCCTCATCGAGGGGGCTTGCTGCTGCGGCGAGTGACCTGGACCCCGCCTTCGGGTCTTCGCTCGGCCTGGGCCCCCCCTGGCAGCTGGGCCCCCTCAGGGGGGGGATGGGGCGGCGCGCCAGCGGCGGGCGGCAAAGCTTGCGGCGGCCCGACCAGCATCGCCGAATCCTGGCTTCTCTGCAGTCTCTTGGTCTCCGCGAAGGCCTGGGCTCAGTGCGGCGTCTCCCTGGCCTCGCCCGTCAGGTTTTGCAGCGTGCGGGGCGTTCCTCGGCCGTCGACGGTGTCAGAGTGGGTCCAGCTGACTTCGGGCCTGTCGGAAATCGTGTTCATGCAGGGTCCTTGTTGAGCTCGGGTGGAAAAGCTCTTGGTCGCCGCCCAATGGGCGGAGCCTCAGCTGGGCCGGCCAGGGGGCGGACGGCTGCCCGCCAGTCGCGAGTGCCCGAGGAGTGGGCGCCGATCCGCCGGGGCCAGCAGGCCGATGCGCTCACCGCCCTGACCGTTGTGGATTGGGCTGTCGCGGGGGGTCCGCCGAGCCGTTTCCCCTGCGAGGCCGCGCGGCGCCCGCGCGGGGCAAAACCTGGCGGGCGCGTGGGTTCTGGGTGCCCACCGTCTGCCTGCCTGCGCCCAGTCGAGAGGCGGGCCCCCTCCAGGGCCCAGGAGTTCGACCGGGCGGTGGTGCTCGACCTGCCGTGGCAGGAGGCGCCAGCCGAGGGCCCGGCGCAGCGGGGCCGCGAGTGGGGCGGCCGCGCCCTGCTCGAGATCGGCCTGCGCCGGGCCCTCGACGTGGCCGCCGCCGCGCAGCGGTTGGCGCCGCGGGGGCTGCTCGGCGCCAATCGCTTCCAGCGCGCGGGGGCGACGGTCGACTTCGCGACGGGCGCGCGCCGGCTGGAAGGGACCCTGCGGCGCTGCCGGCCGCTGTCGTCGAGGTGCCCCAGTCGCCGCGAGCGCGGCGGGCGCACGGAGTTCCCGCGCCGGCTGCCGCCCCGCGCGCAGCGGTCGGCAACCCTCGCGGCGCAGGGGCGGTTCGACGTGCTGCGAGGCCGACGCCTACCCTCGGTCGGCCCTCAAAGTGGCCCTCTTCCTGGAACTGTTCGCCAGCGCCGGGCGAAGGCCGCGGCGCGGCGGGGGCAGCTCGCGCTCCGCTGGGACATTCTCGACGGGCCCGCCAACGCCTTGAGCGGCCCCAAGTGCGCCCGCCTCATCCGAAGCTGGATCCAGGCGGGCCTGCTGAGCGGCGTGCGCGTCGGGTTCCCGTGCGAGGCCTTCCCGCGTGCTCGGGGCCATCCGAACGGGCTGCCGCGCCTCTGGTCGGGCGGCCATCCCTGGGCGCACCCAGGGCTGTCTGACACGGGCGCCCAGAGGGTCCACTGGGGGAGCCCGTGCGTCGCCTGTTGCCAGAGCCCGGTGCCGTGGTCCATCGAGAGCCTCGCCCTGAGCCGCGCGCAGCTGCTGCCGCCCGTGCGTGGCTTGTGGAGGCGCCCCTGGGTGGCCAGCCAAGTTTTTGAGTAGTGGGGTTTCGGGATGTTCTGGATGATCACTGCAGCTTTCTCACGGCGTTGTCAATTTTCTTGTCGCTGCTTGCCTCATGCTGTCGTGCTGGTCGCACATGTGTTTTGCCTAGCCGCAAACGAATTTGCTTCAGGCACGAACGCTCGAGGGGAGCTCAAGACAGAGCTGGCCGAAGCCTGTCCCTAGAAGCTGTGCAGCCCGTTGGCCTCCGCTTTTGGAAATGACAGGGCCCAGCACCAGGCTGTATACTTCGAGTGTTTGGTCAACTTAGGCTCATGTGCGAACATATGTCATGTGTTTCATGATGGCAGATGGAGCTGTAAAGTTGAACGCCATCTGTCTTGTTACTTGTTGTATTGCGCACTCGGGATTATGGAAAGACTCGGCGTATCCAGTTTTAGTTTGGAGTGTCCCAGCAGTTCGCGGGCTATTTGGATCTCAATCGAACCCGTCGTTTCCCTGGGCCTGGAAGGTCTGGGTGAGTGTCACTGTCATTCGCATTGTGGTATGACACGGTAGTTGCCCCATAGACACAAGCATTCTTTGTTATCCGAGTTGTTTTGCTGCTGTTGTCGCGAATGGCTGCTATCGTTGTCTTTCAAACTCCCATCCATCGCTCTCCATCTGCGCCAGCGGGCGACCCCGAAATTCATCGAACTCGTCGCCGCTGTGGGCCTGGGAAGTCCAGGCGGGTGCCGATTCGTTCGCACTGCGATGATACACGGCGCTGTCCCGAGAGACAAAACAGGGCATCCTTCCCATCCCATCCTCCCCCTCCTCCTCCTCCTCCTCCTCCGCCTCCTCCTCCTCCTCCGTCTCCTCCTCCTCCTCCTCCTCCTCCTCCTCCTCCTCCTCCTCCTCCCTCCTCTTCCTCCTCTCCCTCCTCCTCCTCCTCCTCCCTCCTCTTCCTCTTCCCTCCTCCTCCTCCTCCTCCTCCTCCTCCTCCTCCTCCTCCTCCTCCTCCTGCTCCCCCTCCCTCTCGTCGCCGGCCGCCGCGGGCGGCGTCGCAGTGGCGGTGCGGCGGGCGGGGCCCGGCCTCCGCAGACCAGGGTGTGGTGGGGGCCAGGAACTCGGCGAACGGCTCCTGCGGGCGTTCGACACCAGCTCGCGGAGGGGGGGGGCTCTCGCCGCCGCCGTGTCGTCATCGCCGTCGTCGTCGCCGCCGTCGTCCTCGTCGTCTCCTGCTGCTCCCGGCCTCCCTCGCCTCCTGCTCGTCGTCATCGTCTTCGTCGTGGTCCTCCTCCTCATCCCTCTTTCTCTTTCTCCCCCTCCCTCCCCCTGTTCCAGCTGTGTTCAGGTATCGCGAGAGTCGACGTCGAATACGGTTCAGGCCCAGCTCAGGAGCCGAAACCACTCGAACCCCCCCCCCGCCCCGCCTGGGGCCGCGCAGCCCTCTTCCGCTTCGCCGCCCGTGGATGCCTCGTTCCGTCGGGCCTGTTGAGGTGGTTTGCCTAGGCCTCCCATATGGGGTCAGAGCAGGTGGGGTCAGAGGCTCGCGCCGCATCTCCGATGCATCGGCGATGCGGCTCGATGCGGAGCCCGATTTTCTCTACGCCGACGGTGCCGATGCGTCGCCGACGTCGGCGATGCATTGCCGATGCACTGTCGATGCGTCGGCGATGCAACGGCGATGCTGCGCGATCCTCCAACCCTACCTACTCCGACCCCATCTGGAAGACCTTGAGTTTGGGTGGCGGAAGTCGATCAAGCTTGTGACGCTGGACGCACTCGTTTCGCCCGCGTGCTACTTGCTGTCGGCGGTGTGCCAGGTGTGCGAGCGTCGTGCAGCGGCCTGCTGGCCTCGTGCCTCTGAGGCGACCATCGTGCGGTCGGTGCTCGGCTGAATCGTCTGGGGGGAGGGCGGCTTTCCAGCGCGAACAGGCCTTTGCAGGGGCCACCGAGCCGTCGTGAGTAAGCATCATGGCCCAGGGATGTCATTGGCGACTTTTTTTGAACAGCCCAGGACGGACTGTCGGATACGCTCTCCAGTCGCCCTTGTGATTTATGCGTGCTCCCCCTCCTCTCCGCTTCCTCCTTCTCGTCCCCCTCGTCCCCCCCCTCTTCCTCCATACGGTGTCGGTCAGGCAGGTCGCGTGCGGTTTGTCGCCCGCTCATCCCGCGCTAGTCCTCTCTCATCCTCCTCTCCTTTCTCCTCCCCCTCCTCCTCCTCCTCCTCCTCCTCCTCCTCCTCCTCCTCCTCCTGCTCCTCCTGCTCCTCCTCCTCCACCTCCTCCTCTCCCTCCCCCCCCCTCCTCCTCCTCCTCCTCCTCCTCCTCCCTCCTCCTCCTCCTCCTCCTCCTCCTCCTCCTCCTCCTCCTCCTCCTCCTCCTCCTCCTCCTGTCTCTCCCTCTCCTCCTCGTCCTCCCCCGTGACCCTTTTGGCTCATGCCCAGGGCGCCCTCGCGCAGTCCTCGCCCCCTTGAGCTCCGCTCGGCAAACCTCCTCGCGCGCCCGCCACGTCGGCCACGCACGGCTGCCCGACGCCGTGGCGCCCGCGCCCCCTCCGAGCCGAGGAGCTCCGCTCCCTCGGCCCTTTGGCCGCGCGGCGCGCGAGGCGCGCCGCCGCCGCCCGCGGGCCCGCGAGGCCGGCCTCACCATTTCCTTGGCGGCGGCGAGGACGGCCCGGGCGCCTGGCGCGACGGGGAGCTGGCGGCGCGCCCCGGCTCCTCGCGGCTGGGCACCGCATCCCAGGGCGGCGGCTGGGGCTCTAGGCCTCTTCGATGGGGTCCGAGTAGATGGGGTCGGAGGATCGCGCCGCATCGCCGATGCGTCGCCGATGCGGCTCGATGTGGGGCCCAATTTGCTGTACGTCGACTCCGCCGATGCATAGCCAGCGTCGACGATGCACCGGCAGTTCATCGCCAATGCATCGCCGATGCATCGCCGATGTGTCGACGATGCGGCGCGATCCTCCGACCCCATCTACTCCGACCCCATCTAGGAGGCCTCTAGGGGCGCCGCGGTGCAGCCTGGCACGCCGCGTTGGCGCCGCCAGTCGTGTTCGCTCGCGCCGGCGATGCTGCCATCGCAGAGGCAGCAGCAGGCCCGCGCTCCGATGATGTTGCCATCACCGCTGCCGCTCCGTCTGCCCCGACGCCTCCGGCTCCGCGGCCAGCAGAGGCGGTCTCGCCCGCGAAGGTATTGCGGAAGAGGGCGCCGTCTTGGCCTGATGGCTGGGTCGAGCCTGGCGACGTCGACTTTCACCAGACACGGGAGGCGCTCCAGGCCAACGATAGGCTACTGCTGGCATTTCGGCGGCCGTGCCCCCCCTTCGACCTGAGCAGCCACGTCGCCACCAGCACCGAGAAGCTCGACGAGGAGTCCGTGCACGGCTTCTGGGTCGCCCACGGGGCGCCGACGGCTGGCGCCCTCGGGCAGGCCCGTGTTGCCTGGGGGCCCCAATGGCCGCCTCACGGCCGGCGACAGCGGCGCCATCGACTTTTTCGCGAGGGGGACCCCTCGGCTCTGTCGCGAGCCTCGGCCCGTGCGGCCACCGTCATCTTACACGGCAGCCCGATGATGAAGAGATATCTTAAGCCAGGTCTCAGCAGGCGGAGCGTTGGGGCGGCCTCGCGGTGCCCGTCCGCACGCGCGGCCTTGCGCGCTGTGCGTTCGCCTCTCTGGGCTTGGGTCCCCGCGAGGGCTGTGGCGTGCACGTTGCCCGTGCGTGGCCGCGTGGCGCGTTTTGTCCCACCCGCCCGCGCCCTGGGGGTTCTTCGCGCCCCCGGCGTCTCGGGCGAGCTCGCAGTGGAAAGTTGCCTCCTGACAAGGCTGAGCGAGGACCCCCGCAAGAGCGAGCGCATGCGGCGATATCCTGCTCGGCAAACCCTCTCTTCCACACCACAGGCCACGACATCTGCATGTGTGGTGTGTGCGATGGTGAAGGGGACTCAGGCTCGGCATTGTACTTGTGAGCCGTGTGACTATTCACTTCGCCAGACATGCTACGAGGTAGATGCGGACAGGTGTACCGGGCCGACTGTATATTCAGTTCCTTTGGCTTTGAAGTGACCGACGCGATGAGTAAATCTTTTTGAGCTGAGTGTGAACGCGTTGTAGGTGCACGTAGGCGCATCGTTCTGTGTATCAGACGCGGCTGAGGTATACGCAAAGTTGTTATCAATCGGGCACCGTGGTGACCGCAACCCACTAGGTTCTTTGAGGTGCCACAGGAAGACGCTTGAATCCTCCGCCCCTGATCCTGCAGGAGCTCCGGAGGCGCAGCAGTCATAGTCGGCTGAGCGCCGATAGCCGAATGCGAATCTTCGTGCTTGTCCTCCTCGTCCCCCTCCTCCTCCTCCTCCTCCTCCTCCTCCTCCTCCTCCTCCTCTTTCTCTCTCTTTCTCTCTCTCCCTCCTCCCTCTCTCCCTCCCTCTCTCTCCCTCTCTCTGCTTCTGGAAGGGCGATGCTCTGCCCCCTGGTCCTCCGCCTCGTCCTTTAGGGCTCATCTTCAGCCGTCCTGCCCCCCGTTGTTTCCTTGGTGCCTCACTGGTATACTTCGTGTCATGCCAGCCTCGTGCGGCTAGATCCAGCTTGCGTCAGCTGCAGTCAGGCTTCATTCCTGGCTTGGTCTGGCCCAGCCTGGCTTGATCGGTCCGCTCGCTGGCCTAAGCGTTAGTTCTCGTTCGTGGTCAGGACGACCCCGCGGAAGCTGCTGCCTAATTGACCTCTTCCATGTCCTATGGCTTCTCTCCCCTCTTCCCCTCTCCCCTCCCTATCCCCGTCCCTTTCGGACACAGATGCAGGTCCGTCCCCACGTTCCCACCCTCGCAGCCTTCCCTCCTTCACACCGGTGTGCAGGACGCGGAGAATAATGATACGGAGGAGGAGATGGAGTACATAGATGGAGAGAGTGGATGTACGGGAGCGGATAGTTGTGGTGGTGGAAGATGATCAGTCTCAGCACGAGCTCTGTCAGTGGAGCAGACGAGGGAACACGCGGCGGAGGCGGAGGCGGAGTCGGAGGCGGAGGATAAAAAGGAGCAGGAGGCGGAGGAGGTTGAGACAGAGCGAGTGCATGAGATGACGATGCCGACGACGACGACGATGGTGGCGGCGACGGCGGTCGCGACGACGTTTTCGTTGGTGTCGTCTTCGCCGTCGGTTTTCATGATGGTGATGATGAGACGACGACGATGCTGCTGCTGCTGATGGTGATGATGATGATGCTGACGATGCTGGTGATGAATCCGATGCTTCTGGGGGTTGTAAGCGTAATTGCGATGATGCTGGTGCTGAAGATGATGCTGGCGCTCACGACTATCATGCTGATAGTGATGCGCACGCCGCCGGCGACGAGTACGCCGATGCTACTGAACATGGTGATGACGGTTGGATGGCGATGATGATGGTGATAATTTGGTATACGGACGTTGTTGGCGATTTTCGTGGTAACAGTAATCACAGGGCGTTGATTGTTCTGTTTATGATGCGGATTGCAAGGGGTATAACGGGGATGATGAGGATGGGGAGGGCGATCGGGGGTAATGTTGGCTGTGATGTTGATGATGCGCGGGATGATGCTAGGTATGTGAAGGTTGGTACGATACTGGCGAAGACGATGATGATGTTGGTGATGATGCTGTTGATGATGCGGACGACGGCGAATCTAATGGCGAAGGTCACAATGACGGGGCTGACGGTGAGGATGATGCTACCGATGGGATCACGATGACGATGACGATGACGATGTGGATGTTGCTGCTGATGATGACGATGTGGATGCTGGTTTTGAGGTTGTTGTTGCTGCTGCTGTTGTTGTTGACACCGCAAATCATTGTCCTCCCTCCTTTTTGCCCCTCCCCTCCCTTCCTCCGATCCCTTCGTCCTCATTCTCCTCCGTTATCTGTTACTCTTCGTTTTCCAGGGCTTCACCAACCACACGTGGCAGGGAATGAATGTACCCCCCAAAAGGGGGTACGATCGAAGACGAAAAGGGCGGGTATCCAGGATTTGGACATGGATATTGAGTGACACGCGAGCAGATAAGAGCGACTAGTCTTACCATGATTGTTGTTGTTGTTGCTGCTGCTGTTGTGGTTGTGGTTGTTGATGATGTTGTTGTTGTTGTTGTTGTTGTTGTTGTTGTTGGTGGTGGTGGTGGTGGTGGTGGTGGTGGTGGTGCTGGTGTTGGTGTTGGTGTTGGTGTTGGTGTTGGTGTTGTGTTGTTGTTGTTGTTGAACATTATTAATTCTAAAGAATAATTATTGTTGGGCCCCCTGGTGCACGCCCCCCCCCCCGCGCCTAGGCCGCAGCCACATTTTCATCATTTTCGTGAGGAAGCCTCAGGTAAAACGATGTGATCCAGATCCGGTTGTTTTGTTGTAATCCGTTTTCCCTTGCAAAAAACACTATAAAATGACATTTCTTGTTCTAATATAATCAAATTTCAAGAATCCCTTGCAAAAAATAAGGTAAAGTGGACATTCGCGCGCGCAAGACGAAATCCTTCCAAAAGCTTAGTGTTCGGAGCGATTTTAACATAAAAACATCAAAAAACCAATGGTTTTTCAACAAAAAAATGTCAAAATCTCATCCCGCGCGCTCTTGCGGATTCGTAGGAAACCCAACACTTTTTAAACATTTCTGTCAAACGGGCTTTTGCGAGCAACTTTTTCGAACTTCTGCGACAACGGTTGCGCACCTGCCAGGGCCATCATCCCTGTCAAATAATACCATGCGGGACACATTCGTTTTTTCTTCGCGCGCGCACGCCGTCGTCGTCGGCCGCGGGGCCCTGAATAGTAGCCACGGTCGTCCGCATGCCACGAAGTGAAGTGTCCGAACGTCATAGGGCGGGAAGCTGGGTGTGGGTGGTGGCGAAGAGTCGTTTGGAAATTTGGTAGAGCTTGAACCGGCCCCCCCACAAAGTGGGGGTATTGCCCGCCTCCTATGAAAACCCTGGCACTGGTGAGAACGGAGTGTCCCCACGTGCTAGTAATTGTTGTTGTTGTTGTTGAACATTATTTATTCTAAAGAATAATTATTGTTGGGCCCCCTGGTGCGCGCCCCCCCTGCGCCGCCTAGGCCGCAGCTACATTTTCATCATTTTCGTGAGGAAGCCTCAGAAAAGATGTGTACAGGATCCGGTTGTTTTGTTGTAATCCGCTTTCCCTTGCAAAAAACAATAGAAAATGACATTTCTTGTTCTAATATAATCAAATTTCAAGAATCCCTTGCAAAAAATAAGGTAAAGTGGACATTCGCGCGCGCAAGACGAAATCCTTCCAAAAGCTTAGTGTTCGGAGCGATTTTAACATAAAAACATCAAAAAACCAATGGTTTTTTCAACAAAAAAATGTCAAAATCTCATCCCGCGCGCTCTTGCGGATTCGTAGGAAACCCAACACTTTTTAAACATTTCTGTCAAACGGGCTTTTGCGAGCAACTTTTTCGAACTTCTGCGACAACGGTTGCGCACCTGCCAGGGCCATCATCCCTGTCAAATAATACCATGCGGGACACATTCGTTTTTTCTTCGCGCGCGCACGCCGAAATCTCCAAAAACCATTGGGTTCTTAAGAATTTTAGCACCGCGCATCATAAAATCACACGAATCGCACCGTAGGTCCTCGAAAAACACCTGTCTCTCTGTATTATGTATTGTATGGCACAATTGCACCATGCTGGGCACATGCGCGCCCCGAATAAGTGACCAAGTTCTGTGGGTGTGTACCCCACGCCAGTGTAGTAGCCACGGTCGTCCGCACGCCACGAAGTGAAGTGTCCCAACGTCATAGGGCGGGAAGCTGGGTTTGGGTGGTCGCGAAGAGTCGTTTGGATATTTGGTAGAGCTTGTAATGCCCCCCCACGAAGTGGGGGTATTGCCTGGTGTCGTATGAAAACCCTGGCACTGGGGAGAACACCACGCGTTCGGGTAAAATGATTGTTGTTGTTGAACATTATTACTTCTAAAGAAATATTATTGTTGAGACCCCTGGTGCGCGACCCCCCTCCAAAACCTAGGCCGCAGCCTCATTTCCTTCATTTTCTAGCGAAAGCTTCAGAAAAGTGGATTGTGTCCGGATCCGGTTGTTTTGTTGTAATCCGTTTTCCCTTGCAAAAAACACTATAAAATGACATTTCTTGTTCTAATATAATCAAATTTCAAGAATCCCTTGCAAAAAATAAGGTAAAGTGGACATTCGCGCGCGCAAGACGAAATCCTTCCAAAACCTTAGTGTTCGTAGCGATTTTAACATAAAAACATCAAAAAACCAATGGTTTTTCAACAAAAAATGTCAAAATCTCATCCCGCGCGCTCTTGCGGATTCGTAGGAAACCAACACTTTTTAAACATTTCTGTCAAACGGGCTTTTGCGAGCAACTTTTTCGAACTTCTGCGACAACGGTTGCGCACCTGCCAGGGCCATCATCCA